AGAGAAGAGCAGGGGACAGAGAAGTCATCGAGTCCCTAAATTCGCCGGACTCACGAGCGGGATGTTGAGGAGACGCAGCAGGGGCTGTGCACGAGCATGTCAGCTGCGTCCAGGAAGCCAGCACATTTTCCATTTGAGCCTGAACCGCGGGGCCGCATGCTACTAAGGTGTGGGTGCTCCTGGGTGTAGCTGAGAAGCGGGCAGACTGTCCTGCTATCCACCTGAAACTAAAGTGCATGGAGGAATGGGCCAGAAGCCGCCCTTTACCTGGAGACTGGTGTGGTTTGTTCCACTGGGGCAGCACCTGATCAGAGGAGGCTGTCCGTGACTTTGCACCTTGGTGGGAAGAGAAGCCACTCAGCCGGGTTCAGACGCTGAGTCAGGCACCTCCTGGCCGACCCCGCAGATCCTGTCTGGGAGGACCTGTGTGGGTGGCCGGCTTGGCGTGGATTCCAAGACTTCAGGCAGGAGGGTGGTGACGGCGTGTCATCTCCTACCCATGCCACGCACTGCCGCCTCTCCCTTCACCTCCGGGCCTGGGAGCTCCTTATTGACCCATGCAGATGCTAGGTGGGTCTCTGCCCGGTCCCGATGCTTTGGCAATCAGTGCTCTGTCAGCCTCCTGGATTGAGAGGACAGGAGCCGTGGATGCCTTCTTCACCTCCCCTTTGTTCGGGCTCTGTCCTCAGCTATCTGTGCAGAACCAGTATTTGGTGGCACCGAACAAGGCCAACTTGATGAAGCCCCTTCTCTGCTTCCCACCCTTTCCCCACCTTTCTGGTCTTGCCCTCTCTCATAAGCTGGAGCACAAGCAACCTTAGCCTCAGGCTCTGCTTTCTGGGAAATACAGGCAGAGACATATTTTCTGCAGATCTTGGCAGAACGAGGCTGTCAGAAAAATTTTCTTCAAAAATTCTACCTTTAAATACCACTCTTACCTTGTGATGGGCACTTGGGACATAGTAGGTTAGCAGAAGGGACATTGCAGGTACAAGGGTCTTTTATAGGCCCATTTGTTAGTCAGGCTCTTTCTAATTGAGGGTTTGTTGCATTCCAAAATGTTATATTTTTAGTAGGGAGCTTTGATGAGAAAGGAGCTTCTCTCTGAGCTCAGGGAGTCTCTCAGTGGGCGTCTAAGGATCCAGATCCTAGAGTAGTTCTCATCTGGCTAAGGTTCTGCCCCAGACCCTCTGTCATTCAACAGATTTCACAGCATCCCATACACACTACCAGCACGAGGAAGAGCAAAAGATTACTTTCAACTAGTATTTTGAAAATTCTGTGTTAGGTTCTTTGTTGTCCATATTTCATGATGTCAGATTCTGGAATTCTCAGGAATGATTCTGTAGTATCATGAATATGCCACCATGTTATTCAGTCCAGATATCTGAATAATTTAATATATTAGTGTATGCAGAAAGTAGGAAAAATCATCTCTAGGCAAATGCCCCTCCATCCATCCATCCATCCATCCATGTATCCATCTACACACCCATCCACTTGCCGTCCATCCATTCATCTGCCTATCAACTTCCCCATCCATCCATCCATCCATGTATCCATCCACCTGCCTATCCCACTCATCCACCCACACATCCACTTATTTCAGCACAGCCTAGATCTGCTGTTTGTGTTATTTAAACTTCATAAACAGATCTCAACATATCTACAGTCTAGCCCTTCACTGGTAGTTTCACTGTCTCTTCCCATAAGCCAGGTGCCTTGCAAACTCTAGGCTTATGGCTGCTAATGAAGCCACATTGACTTCAGAGCCGAATCTCCCTGCCTCATCAGGCTGGAGTGGGGAGGAGCACACAGCGCTGAGAGGCGCCCCCACCTGGCTGCACAGCGGGAGCGCTGGGAGCCTTGTCCTTGGGTCTGCATCTTGGCTCTGCCACTTCCCAGCTGCAAGGTCCTCAGTGCCTCAGTGCCTCAGTGCCTCAGTGCTGTGCGGGACTCTTGGTGAAGGGAGGCTGATGATGACAGCACACGCATCTGCCTTGTCAGATGCTGTCAGAGTTGGTGACCACGGGGGCCTCGGGCCTGGCTTCTGCCGTGTGCGCAGTGGTCCTGGACACCCAGCCTGGTGCAGACCCTGGCCCTCCCAGACCAGGGAGACCCAGTGCCTCTCGTGGGTGAGGTGGCCACACGACCCAGTGTGAGGCCAGACTCCGGGGACCCTTGACTCCCCTCAGCCTTGGGAACAGCTCAGGTCACTGAGAATTCTGCAAAAAGATGCTTCCAGTGACTTGTTCCTTTTTGTCAGGATCCTTTTCTGATCTGTGACACCAACTCCCTTGAGATCTATCAGCTCCGTTTTGCCTCAGTCACGTGCGACCTGACACAGAAATCCTGCCTTGCAAACCCTAAAGCCGACTCCTTTCCCCGTGCACATTTCCCTTTGCTCTCCTTCTGGCTTCCAGAAGGCCACCTCTGACGGAACAAGATGCATTCGCGTCTGAAAGGTCTTCATGCTTAAGGCATTTAAGGACAGCGGGGCCAAGCCTGCGCCCACTTTGGGCATACTGCTCATATTCCATTTAATTTGATTTTATTTTACTGTAAAACTTGTTCTATTTTTCAAAATGCCTCTTTTCTTCCCGGTGGCGTCTATGAATTATGCAGGGAAGGGTTCAGAAACTGGAGCCGTCGCCACCTTGGGTTGTGGCTATCACTGGCCTGGCAGTCTTAGTGACATCAGGTTTCCATCAGTATGTGAGCTTGGTGGCTTTGTGTTGGAACAGAGGAGGCATCGAGACAAGCACAGATTTTTGTTTGTATTTTGTAGAAAACTCCCTTCTTGGAAGGGACCCTTTTACTTGCAAATCTACTACATGTAAGAACCAGGCCATCTGGTATAAGTCAGATGTTGTATGCTGCAGGCTCCTTTAGGTAATGGAAAGCGTCGAGCCAGGGGATCTACGTGGCAGTGTTTTCAAGAACAGTTGATACTGGACATGGTGGCCCATGTCTGGAGTCCCAGTTACTCGAGAGCTGAAGCAGAAGGATCCCAAGTTTGAGGGTCACCTGTGCAATTTAGTGAGACTGTCTCAGAATGAAAAATAAAAAGGCCTGGGGTCCTAGCTCAGTGGTGGAACTTTTGCTTCCATCCCCTGTAGTGAAGAACAAAACAAAAAGAAAAAACAGTCTATGTTTGGATGAGGGCTATGACCTCCTGTCTCCTTACAAACACAGGCAAGGAGTTTCTAGCTCTCTAGAAACTGAAAGTGCCCTGAGTTAAATAGAGAGAAAGACCCACATTTCCATGACCTTCCACCTCCGAGAGGTGCCCTGGTTGCAGAGAGGGCAGAGCACACTTACCTGGCAGCTGTTCACACTCCGGTGGACTGGGGTGCAGGGTGAGGGAGGTGACATGCAGGGCACTTTGCTTTGCCTCCCTCGGGTTGTCATGTGCACATGGCAGCCGCTGTCCCCAGGACGGGTCACTTTCCTAACAGGAGCCTCTGTCATGTAGTCTGTTCACACTGCTCAGAACCCGCAAGCAGAACTCTCCACACGATCTGTGTTCTATTCTGGGTGGTGCCTAATGACCAGGGACTTGTCATGATGGCATCCAACACTAAAGGAGCCAGATATTATTTTACTGTGATTATTTGTGGCCTGCAATCCTGGATCCAGGACATCCTAACCCCTTCGTGGGTGTCCGGCATGTTCCGTGACCTCACTCCTTCCAGGATGCCTTCCAGTAGTGATGTCCCAAAGACGCTTCCTGACTGATGCTAGGGGAAGCTCAGGTTCTGGTCTTGGCTGTCACCGTTAGCTTCATGACCTTGGACAAACTGTGTCCCCACCCCCCACCCCCCATTTCCTGCTGCTGAAGCTCAGAAACTGCAATCTCTTCAATTCTTTTCAACTCCAATTGTATTTTCTGATAATGACCCGAAAGTTGGGTTGACAGAATGCATCTCCCTCAGTGAACTAGAAGAACTACGAAGATCACATGAAGCTGACACATGCTCCCCGCATTGTACCTGTCTCCCCAGGCCTCAGCCTCCAGGATCTTTTCTTCTTTTACGTTTTTTTTTTTTTTTTTTGTACCAGAGATCAAACTCTGGTTCTTGTACTTGCGAGACAGACGGCAGAACCATTGAGCTAAATCTCTGGCCCTCTTTTACTTTTAATGAGTCCACGTTTGCAGTACATAATGACTGCACTCCTTGTGGGGAGTTCATACAGGTACCCAACACATCTCAATTCTTTTTATGTCCCCTTCCCCTCTCTTTTCTCCCCCTCATGCCCTGTCCCCCTTCCCTTTTGCAAAGACCTGTCTTCCTATTGTCTGTCTTTTATTTTGCTCTTTAGTTTACTTACACTTTGGGTTTCTCATGTAAGGGAAACCATGTGATATTTAAACTCAACACCCACAGAATCTTACTCAACAACATAAAGTACCCAATAATAGAAAACGGGGATAGATTTTTTTGCCAAAGGAAAGAGGAAGAAGAGATGGAGGCGGGGAAAGAAAGGAGGGGAAGCGGATGTAAAAGGAACTTGGAAGTGTTAGGTGCATGTACCAGCTCGCGATGAATGCATGACAGGAAAAACCATCTTGGCAATGCGAGAAGCTCTGACTGTGAGCAAAAGAGTCGTTCAGCCGATTACAACTTACCAGGCACAGGGGCTGGTATGAGAATACAGCAGGGTGACAGCCCTTGTTGACTAAGGGGACATTCTGGACTCGCTGTGGCTAGCACAAATCCTTGGGCGTTTCTTTCAACTCTTCCATGAGGTTAGGCTAATCAGCAGCATCTCCTGCTCAGCTTCCTGAGCCAGTGAGCCGTGTCCAGCCTGTGGCGGCCATGGAGACCCGAGGCCGTGTATATGGCAGCCTCCATCCCTTCCTGGCCTGATCTTTCCCTGGTGGCATGTGTTGTAACTATCTGAGCTAAAGTAATGCAGTGCTGGATTTCATGCAAGAGATAAGAGACCAAAATAATCCTGACTGTGTCTGACAGTTCCTTCTTTCTTTATGTTTTTAGCGACAAGGAACCGGGGCAACCAACGGAAAAGACAAGACATCGGGAGAAAATGGTAAGGTGCCCTGCACGGTCCAGCTACTCCCCCTGCCCATCTGTAGCCCTGGGTGCGCAGCAGGCGTGGCTCCTGCTTTCCATCCAAATCAGCTTACTATTTATGTCTGTGCCTCCACGGAGAGTGGATTTTAGCAATTTGCAGCAAGCACCCGGGTCTGGCTTTACGAAGCAAACAGAAGCAGTTTCCCTCCCAAAGAGGACTCCCGTTTTGGGCAACATGGTAATTACAGTGCAAATATAGTTCTCTGCTTTCTTCATTAGGGTTGGTGAGAACCCGTCCAAGTTGTTGTGAGGATAAAATGAGATCAAATGAGATAAGTGCTTTGACAACTGTGAAGTGCTCAACTCCGGAGGGAGGTTTGGAAACTTGCTTTATCCTGCGAAGCACCCAGCATGGTACTGGGTCCAGGGGTTGGTGCTGAGCCAGCCTGTGTTGTGTTCCCTGCAGTGACTCACTAGTAAATAAAAATGACAGCTGTGTGGGGCGCATTTGTACCCTGTCTCTCCAGGCACCATTGAGGCCTTAAGTTGCAGGGATGAACTTCTATTTTTTATTTTTCTAGTAGTAGTGGCAATTGAACCCAACCACTGAGCTGCATCCCCATCCTCTCTATTTTCTCTTTTAAGACAACGTCTCACTGCATTGCACAAGTTGGCCTCAAGCTTGCAATCTTCCTGCCTCAACCTCCTGAGCAGAGCATGCTATTTTTCAGGATTGAGAATCTGGAGAGTGGTGTGGTGGAGCTGGAGGTGGGCAGTAACCAGAGAGGCATGGATCGTGTGGAAAATTGAGCAGGTGTTACCCCCAGTGCCTGGCTGAGCAGTTGTGGTGGAGGATGGAAGGAATGGTGAGAGCTCCCCATGAATGTAGAGAGCCACAGGGTGGTCTGGCAGGGCTTGATTCTGGCTCTTCTTGCTCCTCATCCATTCCAGAACAATGTGGCCTTTCATGGAAAATGACTTTTGCCTCCCCTTGGGTGAAATTCATGCTGGGATCCACTAATCATATTGCAAGTCTCGCCATTGCAAATGCACCTATAAAATTCCCTAGGGTCCAGGCGTGGGGGTGCACATCTGCAATCCTAGCCCTGGAGAGGCTGAGGCAGGAGGATCAGGATGACACAGTGGGACTTTGTTTCAAAAAAAAAAAATTCCCTAGGGACTGAAAACCCTTCAGGCCTCAAGAGCATCCTGTGTTGTCCTCATGCTCCTGGTCAGGGTCAGTGTGACACAGTGTCACTGTGTGCCATGGTGGGCAGCTGCTAAAAAATTGCACCATGCACTTGTGAGAGGATGAGATCTTAAGAAGCAAATCATATCTTTGAAGATCAAGCCCCATCTTTTACAATAGCGATGTCTTTTCAAAGATCAACAATGGTTTTGATAGAGTGGGGTCCACTAAGAAAGTAGGCCTCCCAGAGTTCCTGGTCCACACTTTGAGAACTACTGCTTTGGGGTGACTCAGGTGTTGCCCCCGCACAGCTGGAGTCGGGAGCTGAGGCATGGTGGTGGCCGAGCTGGGGCTGGACCTGTGGGTCCTGGGCCTCTGGGGGTCCCCTGGGCAGCCTGTGGTCCCTCGGGGCACGACTCTGTGTCCAGGGCTTGCTCCACAGGGTGCTGTCGGCTCAGCTCTCAGAATGCCCTTCCTGCTGTACAGAAGCAGAAGTTTATCCCAGCCAAAGACTGGTTCCACCTGTGGAAACGGAGTCTTTTATGAAGGTTTAAAAATTATTCAAATGGAAAAATTCAAGATGCCGTGAATAAGGCTTTTCATTATATAATTCTAGATGTTAAAAGATATTTGCCTTTGAGCAGTAAAAGGGATTATTTGATAATTATAGGATAATGGCACTGTATAAATCCAAGTTATTATTAACATGCAGTACCTTAACTTCAGGTAAAACTGCTTATATATGATATACTACATGATACATTATTATAATAAGTTTTTTAAAAAGTGGCTTTTGAGGGCCTGGGATTTAGCTCAGTGGTTCCGCCGCCTGCCTTGCAAGTGGAAGGACCTGAGTTCGATCCCTGGTACCAAAAAAAAAAAAAAAAAAGTGGCTTTTGCCTCTAAAAAGGAACAAAGACAAAAGCCAGTAATAGCCTGATAAAGTTTGGGTAAAAATTTCTAGAAGGAGGGCTAGAAGACATTTTTTCTAGACACTCTTAAGTTTCTTAATTTTTTTTTTTTTTTTGGTACCGGGGATCAAACTCAGGTCCTTCCACTTGCAAGGCAGGCGGCGGAACCACTGAGCTAAATCCCCGGCCCCATTAATTTCTTATTTTTAAATTCCTGGATCTTGGAATTTCTGTTTTAACTTAACATTACATTCTGTTGAAATTCAAATTGTTTTACTCTGTCACACAGGCACCTAGGGAAATCTATTATGTTAATTATGTTTCTTATAATAGCAAATGAAATTGCCTGCTTGAGTTGGAGGAGAGAGGACCCCTGGAAGCAGAAATGTGCAGCACAAAAGACCTCAAGTGCTATGCGATGTGGACCGGAGCTGCTTGCTCCTAAAGTGAGCATTTGCAAATTCAATTGGTTGCCTGAAAGTCAGCCTGTTATTATTCCACATCCTATAAATGTATTTGAGGTCTGTTTAACATATAAAGCAACAAGGACCATGGGAGTGAATGATAGCCATAAGGACCTCAGTCAGGCCCAGTAAAACTTCAAAGGGAGCTTACATGTGGGTTCTGCTCGAATCTTCTTACATGGCCGAGACACGGTTCTTGTGGCTCTTGTTACTGTTGTTGTCATCGTGGCGTTTACTGACGTGAAATATGACATATATCCACTATGCACTACCCATGATGCCCTGGAAACCCTCATCCTGCCAAGGTGTCAACTTCTGGATCCACAACCCAGCAAATCCAGACGTTCTTATAACTCTAGATTTTATGGAATCACCTGCTGTATGAAGCCAACATTTCTATAAATATTAAGCTTAAAGTTTTTTTTAAATTTAGAAATTATATTTGTTAGGACCTGCATGATCCAGAGATTTTTATTGCTCTGTGAATAGCTTATTCACTATTGGGTTAGTCAGGCCAAAGCTTTCATTTGTTTCTTGACATATTTTCTACTTGAGTGAAACAGTGGTTCATAGCTCCAGGGCCACATTGCTTTACCCAGTCTCAGTAGATAAATTAAATTCAAACACGTTTATAAATGCAGACACAGCGACACAAACACAGATTATTTATTGCTAATTACCTGTTTGGAAACAACTGAGAGATTTTTTGCAAGGCAGTAGTTTCTCTTGATGTTGTGCTGTGCATCTCGATGGTCATGCAGAGAGACTCAGAGTTGGAGTCCATCAGGGACACACAGAAGGAAGTACTGGATGGAGAGTGGAAGCCCAGAAACCTGTGATATGAAAGGAAGACAGCTACGTGATATGTCTCGGGGAGGCCTGCAGGTTTGGCCAAGCCGAACTGAGTTTCTGACGCGGGAGGGGCTGCTCCAGACATAAGGAGCTGTGGAACGTTTGTCTGCAAAGGCACCCCTTTGGGGGTGCAAAGCCCAGAAACACACCTGAGTCTGCAGGAGGATCCTGTGTTCAGGCTGAGGCTCGGGGCCTTAAGGGAAGTCAGTGTGGGTGCCTCTGCAGCTGGGGTTTCATTGCTGTGTGTGGGTGGCAACCGGCAGCTCGGCTGCTACGCCTGGACGGGGTGTCCTCTCTTTGGACCAGGGGCTGCAAGCTCCCAGGAGATGGGAGGATGTCCTAGGAGCACGTGGGACTCATTCTGATCTGATGACTCCAGTTTGCTACTTATCGATACTTCAGATGTTGCACTCGGTTCTCTCCTCTCCCCACGTTGAATAGAACCCAAGCCCCGGGAGTTTGAATTATTTTACCCTTGGATTGGAGGGAACACACCCACAGGCACACACCGAGTACTTATTTTTCTGTCAAGTGGGTGGAGCGGTTGGTTGAGAAGGATCTGCGTTCCTAGACAGACATATACACTGCCATTCACCTCCGTGGTGAGAGTTTTCAAATGAGAAATGGGATCCACATGTGGATCCCTACAGCACCTGCTCTCTTCCGCCGCCTTGGCGTCCCATTACCCAGCGGACACCAAGAATCTGCCCTTTGGGTTCTGTGCCCGGGAGCTCCCAGGGGCTGCACGGAGACCTGGGCCGGCTGTGCGAGGACACACTGACTCACTGTCCTCGTGCACGGGGGTGGAGTGTGGCCTGTGTGCGTGCGAGGCTTGGTCATCAGCCTGGAGGGAGAAGGAACCGCTGCTGGCTCCAGGAAGCAGGCACAGAGGGCTCATGAACAGGCCAGCAGGGGAGGCCGTTCGGGCTGGAGGCGTTGCCAAGGTGATCTTGCTCCTGGACACGGGTTGGCCGGGACGGAAGGCAAGAGGAAGACGCCAACTTCTAGAGAGGCCAGGGAGGCTCGGATCCCACACGGGCCTCCAGCAGCAGCGTGGCTCTGCTCTGCTTCATGCGTGGGCTGGGGCCACAGCAGGACTCGAGGAGGGACCCAGGGAAGAGCGGCAGAGCCGGCGCCACAGTGCAGACTGTGGCTGCTCCTGTGGGCTGCAGGTCAGGGTGCCTGGAGCCCCCAGATGTGAGCTAATTCTGTGAGCATCTCCATAGTGTGTGGAAACTCACTGTGCTGAGATGAGTCGCTTTGAAAAGGACCAAGTGAAAATCTGGAGCTGTGACAGGTATCAGAGGCTGTTTATAGAGTCACAAGCCGCACCTGGTGTGGACAGAGCACCCCGGAAGTTATGCCTGTCTGTGGTGTGTGACATTTCCGGGGCCACGAGGCCTTAAATCTGATTTCTGCTGGTGCCGTACAACTCGGACCCACGGAACCTATAGATTGGAAGTGCAGCTGTGACTGCCACAGCTACACAGTTTGCAAGGTGAAAAAGCAAAGCAAAGCAAAACAAGTTTGGGGTCCCTTGGGCTTTCTCTCCTTTTCTCTGTATTTGAAGCTACTGCGAAGGGAAAATAATTCAAAACAA